CTGACCGGCTCAAGGTTGACTCAGCTTTCCATCCTTCCGAGGTCGGTCAAACACAGACCCCAGATGGTTGGGGGGCCGTAGTCTGACTCTGTATACCGCTTAGAGAGGGCTGTAAAGCACTGTGAAGTGACATATATATATGTCTAAATGCTATTGCTGTTGCTAATATAATCCACGGAGCCAAACAAGATGAAGCAGGGGAAGCGCCTGGAATAGCCGATAAAATGTGAGGTTCCGCTTTCCTTTCGTCCCCGCAGCCTCCCCGTACAATCGTTGCAAGGGCAGCATCTACCTGGTCTTCGACTTCTGCGAGCACGACCTGGCGGGCCTCCTCAGCAACGCTCACGTCAAGTTCACGCTGTCGGAGATCAAGAAGGTGATGCAGATGCTCTTGAACGGCCTCTACTACATCCACCGGAATAAGGTGAGGGGTCCCTGCGGGCGTCATAGACCCCAGAGATCTCAGCTGGTCTTCCCTTGGGAAAAAAAAGTTAGTTAGTAAATTAGTTAGTTTAGTCAGTTAGTTAGTAAAGACCCCTCGACCTTTCTCTTGACCCAGCTGAAGCAAAAGTGCTTACAGGTCAGTCCTCAACTTAACAGTCTCCAAGGGAGAAATGGGTGAAAAATGTGCCCTGTTTTACGACCTTCCTCGCCACAACCTTGTTAAGTGGATCGTTGCAATATTTTAAGTGACATGGTTGTTGAAGGGGATCCGGCTTTTCCCCCCTACCCCCACCTCCTTGACTTTGCTTGTCAGGAGGGCACAAAAAAGGGGTTCACATGACCCCGGGATACTGCCGTTGTCGTAAATGTGAGTCAGTTGTCAAGGGTCTGAATGTAAATTGCGCGACCACAGTGGTTAAGTGTGAAAAACGGTCCAAAGTCGCTTTTTTCTCAGTGCCGTTGCAACTCTGAACGGTCGCTAAAGGAATTGTGGGGAGTAGCAAAGCGGACTCTGCTGAAATGGCCCCCAAACGATATACTTAATTTTCCCTTTTTTCCCCCCCAGGACTTTCCCATTGTTGTTGGTCTTTGACCAACTGAAAAGTTCCAGGTTGTTTGTGTGCAGCCGCTTTGTCTCCACATTCTGGGGCTGGATTGGCGTGTCTCCCTCCCAGCACTGCTTGGCTCCCAGACCCTCCCTCCCCTCCCTTGTCCTCCCCCATTTTAACCTCCTCCCTCCTTCCCTCCCTCCCATTGCACAATGTCAGGATGCGACACGATGCTAGTGACAATTTGCCTCTTTGTTTTCATCTTGCCATTAGAGCAACTCGGCCCTTTGAGGACTTGTGGACTTCAACGCCCAGAATTCCTCAGCCTGAGGAATTCTGGGAGTTGGTCCGCAAGTCATCAAAGGGCTGAGTTTGAAGACCCCCTGCCTTAGAGTAAAGTGGGGGGGGAGGGAAACGGTGCTTTTCACTGGGTTAGTTAGAGAAACGAAACCTCTCCAATTCCGAGAGTCAGCAGTCTGGAAACCTTTCAAGGCCATTCTAGCAGGTGTGAAGAGGATAGCAGACGGTTTCTCATAACCAAGAGAATTTGTTTACAGGAGCTACAGCAAATATCTGGGGGAGTTTGGCTGGGAATGTCCTTGTTACATGCTTTGGTCTGATGCCTTTGGGGTTTTAGAGTTAGTTTTACCTCGCCTTTACCATGCCGTGTATTCAATAAACAGTAATTTTTTCAGAAATGGAAGTAATTCTGGACTGTTTATTTGGACATTCAATCTGGAGGTTGACAGCAGGACAGCGACCGTGACAAACCACCCATGTCTCTCCATCTTTTTTTCCCTCCCAGATCCTTCACAGAGACATGAAAGCCGCCAACGTGCTCATCACCCGGGATGGCGTCTTGAAGTTGGCCGATTTTGGGTTGGCCCGGGCTTTCAGCCTGGCCAAGAACAGCCAGCCCAACCGCTACACGAACCGGGTGGTGACTTTGTGGTACCGTCCTCCAGAGCTGCTGCTGGGTACGAAGGAGCGGTGAATCTCTGGGTTGGATTGGGGACTGATGGACCATCGGTCTTCTGGAGCTCCACCTGGGACTTCAGTTCCCATATGGCTGGGCTGGGTCATGGGCCTTGGGTCAACCTTTGGGTTCTGCTCCTCTGCTCGTGGACTGATGGAGTATCGGTCTTCTGGAGCTCCACCTGGGACTTCAGTTCCCATATGGCTGGGCTGGCTCATGGGCCTTGGGTCAACCTTTGTGGTCTGATGGATTATCAAGCTTTTGGTGCTCTGTGTGGGACTTCAGTTCCCATATGGCTGGGCTGGCTCATGGGCCTTGGGTCAACCTTTGGGTTCTGCTCCTCTGCTCGTGGACTGATGGAGTATCGATCTTCTGGAGCTCCACCTGGGACTTCAGTTCCCATATGGCTGGGCTGGCTCATGGGCCTTGGGTCAACCTTTGTGGACTGATGGATTATCAAGCTTCTGGAGCTCTGTGTGGGACTTCAGTTCCCATATGGCTGGGCTGGCTCATGGGCCTTGGGTCAACCTTTGGGTTCTGCTCCTCTGCTCCTGGACTGATGGAGTATCGGTCTTCTGGAGCTCTACGTGGGACTTCAGTTCCCATATGGCTGGGCTGGCTCATGGGCCTTGGGTCAACCTTTGTGGACTGATGGAGTATCGGTCTTCTGGAGCTCCACCTGGGACTTCAGTTCCCATATGGCTGGGCTGGCTCATGGGCCTTGGGTCAACCTTTGTGGACTGATGGATTATCAAGCTTCTGGAGCTCTGTGTGGGACTTCAGTTCCCATATGGCTGGGCTGGCTCATGGGCCTTGCGTCAACCTTTGTGGACTGATGGAGTATCGGTCTTCTGGAGCTCCACCTGGGACTTCAGTTCCCATAGGGGAACATTTTCAAACTTGGGACCTATTTTATCAATGGTTAGAAAAAAGGTTTAGGGATGAGGAATTGAATTTGTATTAGTGAATAAGATGCTCAATCATCTTGTTGAATGATTATTATTGAATTCTGTTTTAAAAAACCGGAAATCAATGAAACTTGATAAAAACAAGATAAGAAAAGTCAAGAATTGTTTTCCAGACTAGCTGGAAGGTTCAATCTTTAGGAAGGTTAACTCGAGATGCCTTTTCTCTTTTTTTTAAGGAGAACGCGATTATGGTCCCCCCATTGATCTGTGGGGCGGGGGCTGCATCATGGCGGAGATGTGGACACGGAGCCCCATCATGCAGGGCAACACCGAACAGCATCAGCTCACCCTGATCAGCCAGCTCTGCGGCTCCATCACGCCCGAGGTGAGAACCGACATCCTAAAGGCTGTCCTCATTTAACGACAGTTTGCTTAGTGATCGTTGGAAGTAACAACGGCCCTGGAAAAAGTCACTTACCACCCTTTTTCACACTTAACGACCGTCGGAGCCTCCCCGCGGTCACACGATCAGAATTCGGAGGCTTGGCAACTGGCTCGCATTTACGACGGTTGCCACGTGCCCTGGGGTCGTGGGATCCCCTTTTGCGACCTTCTGACAAGCAAAGTCAACGGGGGGAAGCCAGATTCACTTAACAACCAGGTTACTAACTTAAGGGCAGTGACTCGCTTAGCGACTGGGGCGAGAGAGCTGACCCAATGGGGCAAAACTCACGTAAGAAACGTCTCACTTAGCAACATAAATTCTGGGCTCTATTGTGGACGTGCGTCGAGGATGGCCAATAGAATAGGACAGGAAATAGAGAATAGGGATAGGATCATTCCTCGACTTACAGCGGTTCGTTTATAGTGACTGTTTAAGTTAACAGTGGTTGTAAGTCAAGGATTCTCTGTACCTCTTTGTGTTTTCCAACTGAATTTAGGAAGTTAAGCTGAGCAATAGCAAGAGAATAAAATAACAGTGTCTTCTAGTCCAGCCCCCTGCTCACGCAGGAGACCCTCTACCATTTGAGACAAGTGGCTGTCCAGTCTCTTCTTAAAAACCTCCAGTGATGAGGGAGGGAGGGAAGAAGGAAGGAAAGAAGGAAGGAAAAAGAAGAATAGCAGAATAACAGAATTGGAAGGGACCTTGGAGGTCTTCTAGTCCAGCCCCCTGCTCAAGCAGGAGACCCTAGACCATTTCAGACAAGTGGCTGTCCAGTCTCTTCTTAAAAGCCTCCAGTGATGAAGCACCCACAACTTCTGGTGGCGACTTCTGTTCCACTGATTGTCCTCACTGTTAGGAAGTTTCTCCTTAATTCCAGGTTGCTTCTCTCCTCGGCTAGTTTCCATCCGTTGTTTCTTGCCTTCCGGTGTTTTGGAAAACAAGTTGACCCCCTTCTTCTTGGCGGCAGCCCCTCAGATATTGGATGTTAGAGCCCATACACATTGTGGGCACTGCTGAACATTTGCATGAGTCACTGATAATAATCAGAATTACAGAATAACAGAGTTGGAAGGGACCTTGGAGGTCTTCTAGTCCAGCCCCCTGCTCAAGCAGGAGAACCTATACCATCTCAGACAGGTGAATTTCTAGTCTCCTCTTAAAAACCTCCAGTGATGGAGCGCCCACGATTTCTGGTGGCAAGCTGTTCCACTGGTTAATTGTCCTCACCGTTAGGAAGTTTCTCCTTAATTCCAGGTTACTTCTCTCCTTGATCAGTTTCCATCCGTTGCTTCTTGTCCTGCCTTCAGGGGCTTTGGAGAATAATTTGACCCCCTCTTCTTTGTGGCAGCCCCTCAGATACTGGAAGACTGCTATCCTGTCTCCCCTATTTCTTCTTTTCTTTAGACTAGCCAAACCCAAGTCCCGCAGCCGTTCTTCGTATGTTTTAGTCTCCAGGCCTTGGATCATCTTAGTTGCTCTTCTCTGAGTTTTTTCTTAAAAACCTCCAGGGATGGAGCACCCACAACTTCTGGTGGCAAGCTGTTCCCCTGGTTAATTGTTAGGAACTTTCTCCTTAATTCCAGGTTGCTTCTCTCTTTGATCAGTTTCCATCCGTTGTTTCTCGTCCTTCCCTCTGGTGCTCTGGTGAACAACCTGACCCCCTCTTCTTTGTGGCAGCCCCTCAGATACTGGAAGACTGCTATCATGTTTCCCCTATTTCTTCTTTTCTTTAGACCAGCCAAACCCAAGTCCCACAGCTGTTCTTCGTATGTTTTAGTCTCCAGGCCTTGGATCATCTTAGTTGCTCTTCTGTGAGTTTTTTCCAGACGCTCAACCTCTTTTTTGTGGCAGCCCCTGTCATGTCCCCCCTAGTCCTTCTTTTCTCTCCATGCGTCTCATCTCTGACTTCCACTTCTCCTTTCAGATCTGGCCCAACGTGGACAAGTACGAGCTCTACCAGAAGCTGGAGCTGCCCAAGGGCCAGAAGCGCAAGGTCAAGGAGCGGCTGAAGGCCTACGTGAAGGATCCCTACGCCCTGGATCTCATCGACAAGCTGCTGGTCCTGGATCCCGCCCAGCGGATCGACAGCGATGACGCCCTGAACCACGACTTCTTCTGGTCCGACCCCATGCCCTCCGACCTCAAGAACATGCTCTCCACCCACAACCAGTCCATGTTCGAGTACTTGGCCCCGCCCAGGAGGAGAGGCGGGCACATGCCCCAGCAGCCGGCCAATCAGGGCAGGAACCCCGCCGCAACCAATCAGACTGAGTTCGACCGGGTCTTCTGAATCCGGGTCGCGTCGAGACGGAGATTTTAACGCATTGTGATTTCTTAGATTTTTTTAATTTTATTTTATGATTTCTTTTTTATTTTCTTTTTGGGAGGGGGGTTAACAGAACGATGGGAATAGTTGGGTTCGGATGAAAATTGCAATTTATGGGAAACCCTTCAAGGACCTTCACTGGACTTGGAGCCGTGGCGGAGAGCGTGTGACTTGCCTATTTTTTTATTTTTTTTCCTCCAAAATGCTTCCTTGTATCCCGAAATTCTTTCTTTCTTTTTCCTGGACGTGGAGGGCTTTGCAGACAGGATGGCTGGCACGAATCGGCTGCCGTAAATTTAATATTTTGCTGCAGAGAGATGAGTTGTGGCAGAACCAGGGTTGTGCAATTGGGAATCCGATAAACAAATGGATGCTATTCCCATTCCTGGTCTTCTGGGACGATCCTGCCCGGGCTGGAGAATTTTGCTGGACATTGGTGACCGTCGACATGATCCCGGTGTTTGCTTCAGGCCTGTTTCCTGCAGCACGGAGAGACTCCCTTTTTTTTTTCTTTCCCCCTCCTCGCTTTAATTTTGCAATTTTTGTTTTCTTTTTTTAAAGGAAAACTCCCGTTTCCTGGGATAGCAAAAAAATAAATAAATCCAAGACGTGCTTCCTAGCTTAGCTCTCTTGCAGGAGGCTAAGTGAAGTGTTTTTTGTTTTTTTTTAAAAAAGAAGAAAATAACTATCAGCAGTCCTGAAAAATTTGCTGGCTTCCTTCCTTTTCCCTATTCCAAGCTCTTCTGATTCTCCAGATCGAACCTTTTTTTATCATGTTTGCCTCTTTTCGGGCGCTTGGGATGAAATGAATTAAAAATTGGAATGAACACACATGGATGACCTGCTTGGGTTGGGACCGCATCCCCGTTCTTGAAACGCACCAAAGCGTCGGAGTTAGTACCTACTACGGATCATTTAACGTTGAATTAGCCCTGGATAAAGGAGAAAAGTAACGAATGAACGAATGAAGCTGGAAGAAATGCAAAAAAAAAAGAAAAGATGAAATTAAAGCTATGAAAAAAAAACCCACGAGTGAGGGTTGTTGTTTTTTTTTTGTTCTGTTGTGGCGAAATCAAACATCCAGAGACGCGCCAAGCCAATGATTAACTCCGTTGACCCTTGTTAATTGTGGCTTGTTTGCCAGTTCGTTTCAAAATGTGCAAAATGTAAATATTTTTACGAACGAAGGTTGTGTCCCAAACGTAAATATTTATGCACAAAACCGGGGTGGTGTTATTGGCCATTCACAAAACTTGCTGAAAAACACACACACACACATTTTACACACACTTTTCTGTTAAAAGGGCAGGAGTTGCTTGGGTTTTTTCTCCCAGCTTCCAGGAACTTTTCTGGCAAGGCTGACCGTGTCCCCCCCCAAACTGGGTGAAAAGTCAGCCGCTTTTAAACCCCGGTTAAACAAACCTGGTTGGGGTGTAGAGCTCGCTGTGCTGTTAATGTTTAATTTTGCCCCAAAATCACCCAAGGAGGGCAGTTGGGCCAAGCGGCTGAAGCCGAAGGTTCAGCTCCGTGATGGAAAGCAGGAAGATCCAAGCAACCCTGCAGGTATATTTCTGTTCCTTACCACTGGTTCAGGAAGCAGGTCCAATAAAGTGAAATTAGAAATTAAATTTTGTTTTGCCACTAGGAGCAAAACAAAATCTGGGAAGGGGCTGTGTATAGGTGGGCTTGGGGCATACTTGGCGCGCTGCCCTTTGCAGAGGGGAATTAACTGGAAAATTTGGTGTTTTGCACTCGGCTGATCTCCTTGCTCACTGCGTTGGGCTGCAAATTGGGATTTTTCTTTTGGCTCATGTTGCATTTTGCACTGTGTACCCTGCTCTCAGGTGAGATGAGTAGAATAGAATAGAATAGAATAGAATAGAATGGAAAATTATAGAATAGAAATAGAAGTAGAGCAGAGCAGAACAAAATAATAGAATAGAATAGAATAGAATATATGGAAATGAATAGAATAGAATAAGGATATAGAATAGAATAAACATATGGAAAGGAATAGAACATAGAATAGAGCATAGAATAGAACAGAAAATATGGAAAGGAATAGAATTAGAATAGAATGGAATAGAATAGAATAAAGATATAGAATAGAATAGAAAATAAAGAATAGAAATAGAATAGAATAGAAAATATGGAAATGAATAGAATAGAATTAGAATGGAATAGAATAGAATAAGGATATAGAATAGAATATAAAATAGAACAGGAATAGAATAGAATAGAATAGAAAATATGGAAAGGAATAGAATAGAATTAGAATGGAATAGAATAGAATAAGGATATAGAATAGAATATGGAGTAGAATAGAATATGGAATAGAATTAAGAATAAGAATAGAATATGGAATAGAAATTGAATAGAATAATAACTTTATTGTCACTTTGAATGTATGCTAATCGGCATACATTAAAATGAAATTTCGTTGCATACAGCTCTCAAAACACTGTATAATTTTAACAAATCGACAAAAAGTCAAGGCTCTCCAAATTTGACAACTTGGGGACTTCAACGCCCAGAATTCCTCAGCCAGCCCTGGGGTGGGGAGGCTGGGAGTTGTAGTTCAGCATCAGAAAGTGGAAAATCCGATCAGAAGACTGGGCAACCAATTGACTAGAATGGTATACAATCTCCTGCTTGGGCAGGGGGTTGGCCTAGATGACCTCTAAGCTCCTTTCCAACTCTATTCCGTAAAGCGAGCCCGCCAGCTGCGAGTCCCTCTGCACTCCTTTTTATCTCTACCGGACCCGGCTGGCCTGGCAGAGAGGGGAATCTGCCCTTGCCAAAGATGGCGGCGAGGGCGTCCTTTTTTTAAAAAAAAAAACCACCACCTTCAGGCGCCTGCGCACGGAAGGAGAAGGAGGCGTGGCCTGCGGTGCAGCAGGAGCAGCCGCGGCCGCCTCAGGGGGGCGGGGCGCGCTGACGTCACGCGGCTGGCCATGGGCTCGCGCCGGGTCCGGGCTTGGTGCCTCGCGCTCGTTCTGCAAGCGGCGCCCTCAGCAGCTCCGCTCGCCGCTTCCCGCGCTTGGCGGCGGTGGCTCAGCGCCCGCCCGGCCCGAGCGCCCCGCATGGAGTACCAGGTGAGCTTCGAGGCGGCTCGGCAAGCCGGAGAACCCGCCGCCCTCCGCCGGGGTTGCGTCAGCCGGCGCGGGGCTGGAGCGCACGTGTGGGGATCGCGGGCGGGCCCTGCGCCTTGAGGGCTGGAGGGGGTGGGGAAGGCACGCGTGTAAAAAGTCTCGGGTGAGATGTGGGGCCTCCTCTTCCTCCTCCTCCTCCTCTTCTTCCTCCTCTTCCTATTCTCCTCCTCCTCTTCTCCTCTTTCTCCTCCTCTCCTTCATTCTTCTCCTTCTCCTTCTCCTCTTTCTCCTCCTCTCCTTCCTCATTCTTCTCCTTCTCCTTCTCCTCTTTCTCCTCCTCTCCTTCCTCATTCTTCTCCTTCTCCTTCTCCTTCTCCTCCTCTTCTCATTGTCTTCCCTTTCCTCCTCCTCTTCCTCTTCCTCTTCTTCCTCCTCTTCTCCTTCTCTTCTCCTTTTCCTCCTCCTCTTCCTCTTCTCCTTTTCCTCCTCCTCCTCCTCCCCTCTTCCTCCTCCTCTTCTCTTCTCTTCCTCCTCCTCTCCTTCCTCATTCTTCTTCTTCTTCTTCTTCTTCTTCTTCTTCTTCTTCTTCTTCTTCTTCTTCTTCTTCTTCTTCTTCTTCTTCCTCTCCTCCTCCTCCTTTTCATCTATCTTCTCCTTTTCATCTATCTTCTCCTCCTCTTCTCCTTTCCCTCCTCCCCTCTTCCTCCTCCTCTTCTCTTCCTCCTCCTCCTCCTCTTCTCCTTTTCCTCCTCCCCTCTTCCTCCTCTTCTTCTCTTCCTCGTCCTCCTCCTCTTCTCCTTTTCCTCCTCCTCCTCTCCTCCTCCTCCTCCTCCTCCCCCCTATTGTAAAGCAAGAGGTGCCCGGGAGTAGCACTGGCTTTTGTCAATCAGTAACAAAATTGTAACGGGTGGCGCTTTTCTTATCCTTTTGACTGTTGCTTTCATTTCCTGGCAAAAGGTGAATGGCTCAGTGGTACTTTAGAACAGGGCTTTTCAACCTTTTCACCCATTGTACCACTTTGAGGATATGGCAATATCCGAGTACCACCAGTCGCCTAGCAAGGTGTCAAAAACTTGATGACCACAAAAAAAAAAAGGAAAAAGGTGATAAAGTACAGGTAGTCCTCGACTTACAACCGTTCGCTTAGTGACTGTTCGAAGTTACAATGGCCCTGAAAAAAGTGCCCCCCCAGGCACATCTGAGCAAGACACCTGCCTGCCCGCCCAGCGACGCTCTTCTTCCTGCCTGAAATTTTCATTGTTGTGAGCATTTCTGTTGAGGATTGGCAGCGGGGGTGGGGTGGGGGGATGTTTGGTTTTTATTCCCCCCCCCCCGTCTGCTGGGTGGTTGCAGCAGGTTTTGGTCACTTCACATGACCCCGGGACACTGTGACCGTTATAAATATGAATCAGTTGCCAAGCATCTGAATGTAAATCACAAGACCCTGGAGATGCTGCAACATTCCAGTTCATCAGCGCTTCTTCTGGGCTCAGCAGAAGCGCCAGGATCAGCGCTGAGCTCCAGCTGGAGCCTGGCGCTGATCCTGGCGCTTCCACTGAGCCCTGACAGCCCCGAAGAAGCGCCAATCAGCTGGAAAGCGGCACTGATCCTGGTCCTTCATCTGAGCCCTGACAGCCCTGCAGCTCCAGCCGTCTCTCGCTCAGGCTTGTGCGGTGCTGCCACCGGTTCAGCTCATTCCCCTCCCCCGCTTCCACTTTTCTAGGATGGTCGCGTACCACCTGCCAGGTGCCAATGTACCACGGGTGGTACCCGTACCACTGGTTGAAAAGCCCTGCTTTAGAACCTAGAACCTTAGGACTGGAAGGGACCTCAGAGGTCTTCTAGTCCACCCCTCTACTTGAGGCAGGAGACCTCATACCAGCCCGGTCAAATGGTTGCCCAGTCTATTTTTGAAA